CCTTCTGATGCTGACGAATATATCGCAATCGAGAGGATTCTATCATTGTATAGCCATCCACCAGAAATTGTTGAAATAAGCGCTTCGCTTGTAGTATGTATGTTGATTCATTCTTTCGATCTTGCACTCGATATGAAAAGAACTCTTTTTGAGTAACATGCTTCCTTCCTTGCTCCGTCTCATCATTCACGCGGGTCAATCTGACATCCTCTCTGAATCCATCCTGGCCGTACGGAAATAATAATGGATATTGCAACCCTAGAAATGAAGGGTTTAACTCCGTCATGAACTGAAAAGCTCCACCCTTTGTTTGAACGACAACATCTCGCTCTGCTTTGTTCACGTGGAAGTCTCCCTCAATAAGTGCTGCCACTTCTGAAACAGTGGGAGTGTTATACGTCCGCCCTTCTGACTTTCTTTTCCCTATTAGCCTCATTTTCAATGTTGTGGAGTTAGATTCATTGAACCTATCTCTTGCCATCCGGAAAGATTTGGCATGGACGTTGTGTGTATCAAGCATATCTCTGAGATCGCGTACCAGTGTATCATCCAATGTTTTGCCACTCTCTTTCCTGTGAAGCAAATAGTGTAATCAAATATTTGAATGCAATTAATATTGCATTGTACCGCCCAATATTATTAATAAAAAAAGTTAAATTGCATTAATTAATATTGTAGTTATCTCATGTTACTATTTAAATAATACACTATTTTTACATATATTTATAAAGTATTGTTATATGTGCATGTAAAGTATTTTAAGTCATATTTTTCTAAGTATTTTTTTATTAGTAAAGTAAATAAATAGTACCTCTAATTTTAATTCATATTTTTCTATTTTCACAATGTTGTACTTTAGCTATATTTTTTTTGTACTTTAGCTATATATTTTATTTAGCTATATATTTTTTTGGCACTTTAGCTATATATTTTTAATAGCACCTCTAATTTTAATTCATATTTTTCTATTTTCACAATGTAGTACTTTAGCTATATATATTTTTTGTACTTTAGCTATATATTTTATAAATTTCGATATTTATACTCGATTACATGTACATATTTACTACTTCGAGAATGTATATATTTACTAACCTCACGGCTGAGATTCGCTGCGAAATTTCTTCAGATGGATCTGATAAATACATTTGTAAGAACTTTGGCCTTTTGCCATCATTTGGAAGGAGACTTCCAATTCTGTGATAGTTTTGACCATTCAAACGAAATATAGGCGGATTTTTCCCTTGATTTATTTCATGATCTACTTTTCCGCCCATCGATGTGAATGAAAACATTGAGTTGTATGATCTGATATTTTCAAGAAAGTGTTTACCCCGCTTGTCTTTGCCAAATATCAAATCTTCCAAAAGTTTTGGCGGTTGTTGCATTTTTGGGAGCACGACATTCCCTTGATTGCAACACAATGTGAACTTTGGCCTCTCTTTGGCTGACACTCTTTTCACTCTCTCCTCATGCCAAAAAAATGCTCCACAATATTCACATTCATATATAGCATCACCAAGATCGGTGTAACCTGAAAAATTGATTTAAGAAATGTAATATAGGAATGTATTATATTTTTAGTAAGTATTTTGAAATATGGCTTGGTCAATGAGGATAAATGAAAATAATATAATGTCAATGATACCTTCATTTGAAGATGTTGCATTATCAGCATGTTCATCTAAAGCATCATTTGTTAAAAACTTCATTAATATTTAATGTAAAGAAGTAATGTACAATAAAGTGTATGCTATTATGGTTCAATTTTGAATGCATCATTATAGTTTGAGCATTCATACGTACCTACAAATGGCATTTCATCAAAGTTGTGAAATTCATCTTCACATTGAGGAAGGTCACAATCTGCATGTAATTCATTATAAATTTACCTATTATTTCCCTAAAATATTACATGTATAAAAGTTAATAAATTTTAACTTGGGATACCCGGCTGAGGATTTGGATCAACTTTGTTCCCATCTAACCCTTCATCAATTATACGTCTGTTGCCACGACGAAGAGGAACAATCGGGACATCATGGTGTTGAGTGTCACTTGACTTAGGAATACTTCCAACAGGATATAGATTTGTATAAATTCCCGGACGATCTATAGTGAGTAAACAATTACAGTTACATATGGAGTAAAAAATTATAATTAAAAAACGTAAATCAAATCTATATTCATAAATTTTATGTTGGGATACCTAGCTGAGAATTGGGATGACTTGTGTTCCCATATAACCCTTCATCAATCATACGCCTATTGCCACGCCGAAGAGGAACAATCGGGACAGCATGGTGTTGGGTGTCACTTGACGTAAAAATACTTTCAACAGGAATCCCATGTGCATAAGTTCCAGGACGATCTATAGTGAGTAAAAAATTACAGTTACACATGGAGTAAAAAATTAAAATTAAATAACGCATATCAAATATATATTTTAATAAATTTTAACTTGTAATACTTGGGTGAGGATTGGGATAACTTGTGTTCCCATCTAACCCTTCATCAATTATGCGCCTATTGCCACGCCGAAGAGGAACAATCGGGACAGCATGGTGTTGGGTGTCACTTGACGTAAAAATACTTTCAACATGATTCCTCTTTGTATAAATTTCAGGGCGATCTAAACAATTACAATTGGATATGAAGTAAAAAAAAATTAAAACTAAATAACTAATATCAAATATTCTTTCATAAATTTTAACTTGGGATACCTGGCTGAGGATTGGGATGACTTGTGTTCCCATGTAACCCTTCATCTATTATACGTCTGTTGCGACGACGAAGAGGAACAATCGGGACACCATGTTGTTCGGTGTCACTTGACGTAAAAATACTTTCAAGAGGATTACAGATTGTATAAATTCCAGGACAATCTGTAGTGAATAAACAATTAGAATTACATATGGATTGGAGAATTAAAACTAAATAACGAATATCAAATATTGTTGCTGATGTTACAATCATAATAATTTAAATAAATGACAATTCTTACTGTGAGGTGCCTGATCGTTGTCATTATCCTCGAGAGTTGGTGTCTGGTCTGATTGTGTTCGCTTGCCCAATATAGTAGTAGATTTGGTAATTCTCTTCATCTACACCACCTGTTAAATTTAAAACAGAGAAATTAAATTGAACAAATTAGACATATAAAAAAATATGGTGTAGTACATGATATTTTAAAAGAGATGTACACATGTGTAGAAGTCTTCTAATAAGAGGAGTTATCTTAACATTCATCTATATGTATAAAATATTTTCAATTCTATAATGTGCATTGAAATTTTTTTAATGTTACTTGAAGAAAGCGATGGGCAAATATAAGTAACTATTGAGATAATGTATCAAATTTGTATTTTCCTCATATTCACTTTCTACATATATTGATATTAATTTTTTACTTTATTCATTTGACTTTTTATTTTCATTTGTAATGATTAAGTTCGATACTTTTTGTTAGTTATTAAATCATTTAATAATCATAGAAAATAAATGAAATAGTAATTCATCTTAAAACAGTAAACAATCCATAATCATCTAATAAATAGAAAATAATAATTGGAATTTACATGGTAAATTACGGTATTTACATATATAAATAAATAAAGGACTGTCACTAAATTATAAGATCAGTAGTTTATTTGCTTATATATAGTAATTTTCCTCTTCATAAATTCTCAATAATAAATAGAGAAGATGTTATTGACTCTAAAATATATTGGTTTCCTATATATGTGTATTCCATAATAATTCGTTCCTTCTAATCCCATCTATAAAAATATGTCAAGAATGTCTCCTAAAATCCTACTACGTATTATAAAAATATGTCAAGAATGTTTATCTTAATAGCCTCTTTTAAAAAAAAAAAAAAATTGTACAAATGACATTGCACAGTTACACCGGTATAATAGCAACAAAAATGTTAACATTAATCATAGCCTGGAAAGAACGTAAGAAAAGGACTTGAAGTCTTCTTGTCTCAAAATTTTGATTTTTTTACAATAAAATGTAAGGAAATAAAAAGGATGTTGGTGTGGTGGTTAATTACTTTCTTCATTCAAATAGGATTTCTTCCGAAATCCATAATATGAATTGATAACACATAACATGAATTATAGCCTAAAATCCTACTACGCATTATAATACACAACATGAATTGATAACTATATACTACGTATATCATTTATCAAATCAAAATAAACCATCCATAATCATGTAAAAATTAACGTACCCTAACTAATTGAGTGCAAAAAATCGATGTTAAAAATAAAAGATTTAGAACATACCTGGCACCGCATTTGTATGAAGTCATGTATGAAGAGAATTAGGTTGTATGTTGGAATGAACTTGGTAGAGAAGAGATGTATATATACAAAAGATTTCTCACTAAATTAGGAGAGATTAGTAGTTTACTTCCTTATATACCAATATATTAAAAAATGGCAAGATCTACCATCTTAATCTTAATAGCCTAATAAACTTACTTTTAATGCATATTAAGGGGTTTACTTATATAGGAGATTACTTACTTGGTTCCATATATATGATTATTTTAATGGCAAGATCTACCATCTTTTAATGCACAATTTGGTGACGTTTTTTTTTAATTATTTAAAAAAATGTAATTTATTTTTCGAATTTTTATTTTACTGTTTAATTAGATGCATTTAATTTAATAAGTTATCCTATATTGAAATTCGTAATGTTTTTTATTTTGCTATTTAATTAATTAAATGCATTTCATTTAATAAGATATCCTATATTGAAATATGGTAGTATTTTTTATGCTTTTTTTTAACATACCATATTAAAATACTTGTTTTAAACCATTTAAGGCTTTGTTTCTTTGAAATAACATATTATTCAAATCACACAATAATTATTCCTAAAACAATACATAATCCATAATATCTAATTAAAACAAAACATAAATAATTGAGATGGAAAAATCCATGGCTTTTCGATCTTCACGGCCTTAAGTTTCTTGTTGCTTGAGCCCTGTGTTTCGCCGTTGACATCACCAGTGACTGCTTCATCCGATTCTCGGCCGCGTCCAATTGATTTTGGAGTTCCTTTCTCATCAGTTTCAGTGTCTGAAATAACCTGCAGTTTTGATAATACCAATGTCATTATTCTTATGTTATTATTATACCAATGTTACTATTCTTATACTATACCAATATAACAAAAAATTGACTTTACGGTCTGATGGAATTGCCATATAAGAAGAATAATATCATTATTCTTAAATGGCTTATTACAGAAACTAATAAGAGTTGTATGTTCTTCTTAAGTTATAAGTTAATTTAATGTTTACTATGAATCTGATTATGCATTTTAGATTTTTGTTTTTCTCTTTGTGTTCTTTCTGTTAAAACTTGCAGGAAGGGATATGTGAGTAAACTAAAGAATCATATTAAAAAATGTGTAAACTAATAAATCTGCTAATGTACAACTACTAAGTTCACTAAAGAACTTCAGCCAATGCCACTACTAAAAGATAGCAAATCTGCAACTACTAAGTTCAGTTTGCATTTCACTTTGCATATATAGTAAACTAATAAATGAGTAAACTAATAAACTAATAAATCTGCGACTATTAAAGAAGAGTGTGGTTTGTAGTGCTTGAGATAATATTCTACAATGTTTTTAGTCTAAACTAATAAAATAAGGTGTAACTTAGTGCAATTATACTTTTGGATATACACTTGGTTAAGGGCTTAAACAGTTTTCTTATTACATAGATGAACACTTTTCTAAACAGTTTTAAGTGTGGCTGATATTATTGAAATACCACCAACGTAATCTCGTGGAGTTAAGGTATTACCACATTGGAGTCCCCTGTCGGCACAGATTCAAAAAGCAATTCCAAGTCTTCATCAGAATTGTACGCCTGTGGATTATTTTTAAGATTTTAAAATGGATAAATATTTAATGAAACAAAGATATATTAAAATGTTTCAGGTATACTACCTCAGAACTCGTTCCTTCACTGCCTGCTGCCATCTTGAACTGTTTTATTTTTTCTTTATCGCTCGATATCATGCCTATTACATAAACCTGTTCACCATAGTTGGAGTTTGTGTTGGCAGACTTGATTTTGAATAGATATTCGCGTCCGATCAATTCAGATATGACTTCAGGGCAGCTGATAGGTCTAAGTGTTGCCTACAAACAGTTAGTTGTTTGGAAATTACATGTTACAGTATATGAATATATATATATATATATATATATTAAACAAATATGAAGTACATAAGTACCACATCGAGGTGTTCGTAAAAATCTCCTGCAGCCTTTCCAAGTAGTAGTCGGGCCTCCTCATCCCAGAACATTACATCTGCAAAAGTTGTCCCATGTCTGACTTTCATTTTCAAAGTGTATCGCCAAACACCCTCATCTTTACTTCTACCGCACTTGCTGCACACTACATCTTCTTCACGCAGTTTCTTGCAACACTTTGCATCACTACAACCAAAATAAGCCCAATTTCGTGAAGAAAATATTGCATGTATCACGCCATAGAACCAGCATCCTCGGACCTGCTGCATTGAATATAAGCTTTGAGAAGAGGTGTGTGTAATATGATGCGAGCTAAGTTTAGAATATAAGATGTTTCTTCCTTCTCATACAACTTCTTCAAATTTAATAAAAAATATAAAGAAGTTTATACCGTTGAGCATTGCATATATGTTTACAAAATTAAACATTATTGCTGAAACAAATAAACTATTCCTGAGGCATCTATAAGAGAAAAATTAAAAGAAGTTGTTTGACAATTGCAGGTAGTTCTGTATTTCCAATTTGGAAATTGTTATCTGTATTTCTTCCATTGAGAAGAAATTAAAAAATCTCTTCTCAATGCCTCATGGATACTTTATTTGTTTCAGCAAAACCAATTCTAAAACCAAACAGCATAATCATTTTTTTTGTAAACATAGGATATAGTAATATATAGATAAAACAATGACATAACAAATTAATGTGAAACCATATGATTGAGTTGTTGTTGTAGTTGTTTTACCAAATAAAAACAAATCATATATTTTTTTCTTTTTTCTTAAAGAACCTATTTTAAAAAATTCTGTTAAAAAGGCCTTAGAGATACTTTATTTGTTAAAAAGGCCTTAGGGATACTTTATTTGTTAACATAGGATATAGTAGTATATAGATAAAAAAAAATGCCATAAGAAATTAATGTCAAACCTAAAACTCAAATTCACCATTAGGAAGGAAATATAGTTTTTGAGATTATGAGTTAAACCTATGATATTAATGTTAAAGCCTTATGTAATATCTATACGTTTAATTTTTAAGTAGTCATTAATGATGAAACCTAAGCTAAACATGTAAACAATAGAGAAAAAGCTAATAAAAAAGTCCAGAACATATAGTTGCAGGGAAGTCCATTTCTAACAGTAAACATCTTATTTGAGAGAAAATGAGTAATGTCAAAGCTACTTATTTAATATCTAATAACTGCAGTTTAACATATTACCTCCTTCATAGTGGATAACTCTGAAAGTGATTTGGTAAAGCCGATCTCCTCACCATTAGTAAGAGATGCAGTAGATGATTTAGAAACAAAAGTACTTGATGGTGTTGCTTGATGAACGGCGACCGTATACCTTCAACAAATGATTGAAATACCAAAAAATGTAAGACTTGAATAATATCCATATAAATTAAGCATGACATTATACCGCTGCACTAAGATAAAAAGTGTTCATACCGGCTTCGAAAGTCTTCAATCTCAGGGATGTTCTCATCAATTAGTAACTTTGTAAACTGCCATGCAGACGACACACCCTTCGTACCACCGACTAAATGAAATATACAGTTTCATTAGGGCACTAATTGCATCCTCAAAATGAAATTAGCAAATGTAAGACATTGAAAACATAATTTGCGACTTAGAAGGGATGTAGGAATACCATAACGCATATTTATCCGACAAAACTGCAGTAGCACAATAATGGGATCATGCCTAGTTGTGTTAATAAAATTCAGAAATTGCGCTGAATACTCATTCCATAGTGTGCATGTTATTTTGGTGTTCCTACATGTTAGTTATGACATTGTTAATATAATAGACCAATAAGAATGTGTGTAGGAATGAATTTATTCTGCATAATCGTATCTTAACTCTAGATTGACCAACGGAAATCGACACCAGGAGCCTTTCCCATCACTTGGTTTGGTTGGTTTTTCATCGGGATTGTATGCACCAATAACATCTAATTTTAATTAAGGGTAATGTTAGAGCATAAAATGATAGAAAAAATGTAATCCTACCAACTTTTAGATATTATTTTAGAAACGTACCAATCAAATCGGGCGCTTCAACATCTGGGGAATTGGTAATATCTGCATAGGCTATGATATTATAAATGCTCTTTGGAAATTCATGATGTTTTTCATTTGTCTGAAGCATGACTTTTGTTTTTTCGGTGAACATCAAACGGAATGGATGGGATGTTGCTCTCCAACCCCCTTGATTCTCCTTGACAGAAAAGTTGAGCATGGCATATAGGTTGCCTTCTTCAATTTGATCTTCAAACTGGGGGATCAAGTGGAGAGGGACCGTTGCTTGAATTTGATCACGCTGTGAGTTGGACTAATAAATTTATTATCCATATAAAGAACAAATAATCAAAAAAGTGCCTTCTGTTTACGATTAAAATGACTTAACTTTAGGCCTAAGGAAAACCTTATGATTAGTTGTTTTTTGTGATTAAAATGACTTAAGTTTAGGCCTTCCAAAAAACTCATGAGAATGTGTGTAGATATGCTGGAGATTTTTCAATCCTAAATATAGTTTATAATGTAAAAGTTCTTTTTTGCAGTTTTTCCCTTTTTGAATACAGGCTTCAACTCCTTAGTGGTAAAGGTACTGGTGTACATGTGTCCCAACACTTTGCTACTTAGACAACAGTCACTATTTTTGTGATTTCCAGGCTGAATCATATACTTAATTTGCAAAAAAAGTTCAAACTTCAAATGACACTGTTATTGTTCATAGTGAATGCAGGGATTTTGTATGATCACTGGGGACAGTTGTGAAAAGTTCACTCTCCTTATATGTTAAAGATCCTAAGAATGCCAATGCTTCTCGAAGGAAACTGTGGATTTTATAGCCTTATATGTTCAAGCTCTATCCTAATCAAAGTTTTTTGTCACTAATGTTACAGTTATTGAAAACATTATTTACAGTCTTCCTTATGGGCATCTTTGTCATGTATTTTCCAAAAAACTTATGATTAGTTGCTTTTTGTTTCTTTTAGCACCATTCACCTATAATTTTTATGAAAACTTAAAGATTATGATGAGTTGATTTTTGTATCTTTACGAAAACTTATAATCTGAATGTAGAAATTTGGATTCTTTACTATTTTGCATTAGAAAATGACTAATTTCAGGTTTATGACTACTTCTTTTGGCAATGGAACACAATGGCAGGAATGTACACAATGGGAACACAGATTCACTGAAAAAGGCAGATAAAATCAAATCAAAAGTAAGAAAAAAATATGGCATTGGGTAGTTCATCACCTTTTCATCCATCAAAACTAATTCACAAACGCGGGAACCCAAGCGCATGTTCTGATCTTTCACAGTCCACTTTCTCCTTACACGAAACAAAAAGGCCGAATTGCGTGGGAGTTGAAGAGTCACATCAGAAAGAAATTTCTGCTCAGGTGCCATTTTTCTGCAATATCATTCAAAGAAGCAAAATTTGAACATATGAAATCATGAATACACTGGAGGTACTTTCAAAGCAAGATTTAAGTGTATATGTACTTTTTCAATTATTTTACTAATGGAAACTTTATAATGAATATGATTGAACCGTAAAAGATTGATCTGCAAAAGATTAAAATCGAAACATGATTGAACTGTAAAAGTTTCATGAATACACTGGAGGTACTTTTAAAGCAAGATTTAAGTGTATATGTACTTTTTCAATTATTTTACTAATGGAAACTTTATAATGAATATGTTTGAACCGTAAAAGATTGATCTGCAAAAGATTAAAATCGAAACATGATTGAACTGTAAAAGTTTCATGAATACACTGGAGGTACTTTTAAAGCAAGATTTAAGTGTATATGTACTTTTTCAATTATTTTACTAATGGAAACTTTATAATGAATATGATTGAACCGTAAAAGATTGATCTGCAAAAGATTAAAATCGAAACATGATTGAACTGTAAAAGTTTCATGAATACACTGGAGGTACTTTTAAAGCAAGATTTAAGTGTATATGTACTTTTTCAATTATTTTACTAATGGAAACTTTATAATGAATATGTTTGAACCGTAAAAGATTGATCTGCAAAAGATTAAAATCGAAACATGATTGAACTGTAAAAGTTTCATGAATACACTGGAGGTACTTTTAAAGCAAGATTTAAGTGTATATGTACTTTTTCAATTATTTTACTAATGGAAACTTTATAATGAATATGATTGAACCGTAAAAGATTGATCTGCAAAAGATTAAAATCGAAACATGATTGAACTGTAAAAGTTTCATGAATACACTGGAGGTACTTTTAAAGCAAGATTTAAGTGTATATGTACTTTTTCAATTATTTTACTAATGGAAACTTTATAATGAATATGTTTGAACCGTAAAAGATTGATCTGCAAAAGATTAAAATCGAAACTTGATTGAACTGTAAAAGTTTCATGAATACACTGGAGGTACTTTTAAAGCAAGATTTAAGTGTATATGTACTTTTTTAATTATTTTACTAATGGAAACTTTATAATGAATATGTTTGAACCGTAAAAGATTGATCTGCAAAAGATTAAAATCGAAACATGATTGAACTGTAAAAGTTTCATGAATACACTGGAGGTACTTTTAAAGCAAGATTTAAGTGTATATGTACTTTTTCAATTATTTTACTAATGGAAACTTTATAATGAATAGGATTGAACCGTAAAAGATTGATCTGCAAAAGATTAAAATCGAAAAATGATTGAACTGTAAAAGTTTCATGACATACTTGTCCAACCTCTGCCTTCAAATGCTAAGATGCTTGAGCACTGATAAGTTTAAAGTGTGTGCGTGTGTATATATTATATATATAATAGAAGAATGTTTGGTTCTGGTGTGTATACGGAATTTTAATTATGGTTCTCAATCATTCGTGCTGAAATTTAAAAGATACATGTTTCCTTATATGGGCTATTACTGATACTTGTAATTAACTGTCACGATTTTATATACATATATATGCTATCAGATTCTTACCATATACAGTTGGGACTCTTTATTAATATAGAAACGAAAAACTGCCTTTTTTAATTAAACACATTTATTATATGCTATGAGTCTAAAATAGGTCGATTTACTGCATGTATATAGAGAGAGTTGCACATTTCCTTTTAGAAGTGCAGTTTTCCTTGTAGGGTTTGATTCTAGGTTTGATTCTAGGTGATGAATATACTTACCATTTTCAAGTTTTTATTCTTCAAAAAAAGGTTTCGCATATGGTTGAGAGTACTTACCATTTTTAAATATTTCTTTAATAAACAAAACGCTTTTTTATTGTAGAATATACTTACATGTTATTTGAACAGCCTCAAATTTAAGACAAAGAGATGAAGTATGTAGATATTATTATACTTTTTAACAAAGTTCTTTCGTTGTATATATGTATATATATATATATATAAATTATATATATATATGTGTGTGTGTGTGTGTATGTGTGTGTGTGTTACTACCTTCATCCCAAAATAATTAGCCAAATCCAAAACTTTGACCAAAACCATTGTAGAACAGCTCAAGTGCCACAGTCCCACTTCCTCATTCATTTCAGTTTGTTGACTCTAAAACACAGAAAATAGTAAAAAAAAAAAAAGCAATAGTCAGAAGCTATAATGTATCTACTGCAGATTTTCTAAGTAATGTTAGCTATAATGTTACTACTCTGCCTATTCAGCATGGCCGAAAATTTAACATACTAATCGATAAGTATGCTTTACAACAAACCTTAGCTGAGTAGGGATGTCATTCTAACTTAATTCTCATGAAGAAGCATATGACTTTTAGACTAAACGATATTACACTTTTATTTACTAAACAGACTTCATGGTGACATGGTAACTCTAATTCAACCAATGCTATAGTCTTATCTTCTCATTCTTATAACCAATGGCATAATCAATGGTTATAGTCTGATTTTCTCATTCTTATAACCAATGGCAAAATCAATGGCTATACTTGAATATACTTTACCCTTGTGAATATAGTTCCCCTTGGTGCCCTGCATTTGGTTTCCAAAATTAACGTATGTTGGAGTATTATGTTTGGGCACTGTTTAGTAAATAAAAGTTCAATATGAGTTAGTGTATTTAGGGAGTGAAGATAGTTTCCACTACTTGAAGCTATGAAGAACTAAAGATCATTATAAGCAGACATCTGTAAGCTCCTAGACACCCATTGAGCCTGACTTAAGAGTATGCAGTTCAGAACATATGGATTGCATTGAACTTTGGCATCCAGGAACACTTGTATACCTGAATTTGAAAAAGAAATACATTTCATTATTAGTGGAGCAACACAATATAATAAAAAAATAAAACTCAATCATTATATTGTAGTTTAGTTCATTTACATATTTAGAGTTGAAGTTGCCTTGGATAATAATATTAAAGCATGGGCTTATGGGGTTGTCTAGAGTTGAAGTTGCTTTGGGTAATAATATTAAAGAAATGTCTAGAGTTCATTTACATATTCAGAGCTTGGTTTATTTACATATTCAGAGTTGAAGTTGCCTTGGATAATTGTATTACAGAAATGTTTAGACACAATAACACTTTGACAGTATGGTCATGACAAATAGGACTGGGAAAATTGGTTCACCATACATTAATATATACATACATAAATGAATAATTATTTTTCTCGTAAAGAATTTGACTAATATAAAGCTGAATATTAATATTAGTGAAAAACCGACACCATAGACTCTGAATTACCTCTAATGGAGTTTGACTAATATAAAGCTTTTATCTTGCACATTTGTAGAAAAGAAAGCAAACCTGAATGGGTATAGAAGAATGTCGAGGGGCATCGTTTGAAGGTTTGCTGGATGAATAAAAGAAAGCACAAAGCCATTTGGTGATTTTAAGTGTATATGTACTTTTTCAATTATTTTACTAATGGAAACTTTATAATGAATATGTTTGAACCGTAAAAGATTGATCTGCAAAAGATTAAAATCGAAACATGATTGAACTGTAAAAGTTTCATGAATACACTGGAGGTACTTTTAAAGCAAGATTTAAGTGTATATGTACTTTTTTAATTATTTTACTAATGGAAACTTTATAATGAATATGTTTGAACCGTAAAAGATTGATCTGCAAAAGATTAAAATCGAAACATGATTGAACTGTAAAAGTTTCATGAATACACTGGAGGTACTTTTAAAGCAAGATTTAAGTGTATATGTACTTTTTCAATTATTTTACTAATGGAAACTTTATAATGAATAGGATTGAACCGTAAAAGATTGATCTGCAAAAGATTAAAATCGAAAAATGATTGAACTGTAAAAGTTTCATGACATACTTGTCCAACCTCTGCCTTCAAATGCTAAGATGCTTGAGCACTGATAAGTTTAAAGTGTGTGCGTGTGTATATATTATATATATAATAGAAGAATGTTTGGTTCTGGTGTGTATACGGAATTTTAATTATGGTTCTCAATCATTCGTGCTGAAATTTAAAAGATACATGTTTCCTTATATGGGCTATTACTGATACTTGTAATTAACTGTCACGATTTTATATACATATATATGCTATCAGATTCTTACCATATACAGTTGGGACTCTTTATTAATATAGAAACGAAAAACTGCCTTTTTTAATTAAACACATTTATTATATGCTATGAGTCTAAAATAGGTCGATTTACTGCATGTATATAGAGAGAGTTGCACGTTTCCTTTTAGAAGTGCAGTTTTCCTTGTAGGGTTTGATTCTAGGTTTGATTCTAGGTGATGAATATACTTACCATTTTCAAGTTTTTATTCTTCAAAAAAAGGTTTCGCATATGGTTGAGAGTACTTACCATTTTTAAATATTTCTTTAATAAACAAAACGCTTTTTTATTGTAGAATATACTTACATGTTATTTGAACAGCCTCAAATTTAAGACAAAGAGATGAAGTATGTAGATATTATTATACTTTTTAACAAAGTTCTTTCGTTGTATATATGTATATATATATATATATAAATTATATATATATGTGTGTGTGTGTGTGTATGTGTGTGTGTGTGTTACTACCTTCATCCCAAAATAATTAGCCAAATCCAAAACTTTGACCAAAACCATTGTAGAACAGCTCAAGTGCCACAGTCCCACTTCCTCATTCATTTCAGTTTGTTGACTCTAAAACACAGAAAATAGTAAAAAAAAAAAAGCAATAGTCAGAAGCTATAATGTATCTACTGCAGATTTTCTAAGTAATGTTAGCTATAATGTTACTACTCTGCCTATTCAGCATGGCCGAAAATTTAACATACTAATCGATAAGTATGCTTTACAACAAACCTTAGCTGAGTAGGGATGTCATTCTAACTTAATTCTCATGAAGAAGCATATGACTTTTAGACTAAACGATATTACACTTTTATTTACTAAACAGACTTCATGGTGACATGGTAACTCTAATTCAACCAATGCTATAGTCTTATCTTCTCATTCTTATAACCAATGGCATAATCAATGGTTATAGTCTGATTTTCTCATTCTTATAACCAATGGCAAAATCAATGGCTATACTTGAATATACTTTACCCTTGTGAATATAGTTCCCCTTGGTGCCCTGCATTTGGTTTCCAAAATTAACGTATGTTGGAGTATTATGTTTGGGCACTGTTTAGTAAATAAAAGTTCAATATGAGTTAGTGTATTTAGGGAGTGAAGATAGTTTCCACTACTTGAAGCTATGAAGAACTAAAGATCATTATAAGCAGACATCTGTAAGCTCCTAGACACCCATTGAGCCTGACTTAAGAGTATGCAGTTCAGAACATATGGATTGCATTGAACTTTGGCATCCAGGAACACTTGTATACCTGAATTTGAAAAAGAAATACATTTCATTATTAGTGGAGCAACACAATATAATAAAAAAATAAAACTCAATCATTATATTGTAGTTTAGTTCATTTACATATTTAGAGTTGAAGTTGCCTTGGATAATAATATTAAAGCATGGGCTTATGGGGTTGTCTAGAGTTGAAGTTGCTTTGGGTAATAATATTAAAGAAATGTCTAGAGTTCATTTACATATTCAGAGCTTGGTTTATTTACATATTCAGAGTTGAAGTTGCCTTGGATAATTGTATTACAGAAATGTTTAGACACAATAACACTTTGACAGTATGGTCATGACAAATAGGACTGGGAAAATTGGTTCACCATACATTAATATATACATACATAAATGAATAATTATTTTTCTCGTAAAGAATTTGACTAATATAAAGCTGAATATTAATATTAGTGAAAAACCGACACCATAGACTCTGAATTACCTCTAATGGAGTTTGACTAATATAAAGCTTTTATCTTGCACATTTGTAGAAAAGAAAGCAAACCTGAATGGGTATAGAAGAATGTCGAGGGGCATCGTTTGAAGGTTTGCTGGATGAATAAAAGAAAGCACAAAGCCATTTGGTGATGTTGTTTTGCTAAACCATAAGCTCTTGACTCTCACATATCACATACTTGTGTATAAAACATCTCAGATTTTAATCCATTCTGGAAAACAGATTTTAAAATATCACGTAATCTGTGAGGAGTTTTTTAACACCTGGTTCCTTATTAGTCAGATATTTTCTTTTAAGGTACCTGCAAAATAAAATGGAGGAACTAATCAATTTACTAAACAAAATAATAATATTGATATGAATACAGTTATCAGAAAATGATGATGATGATAGGGGAACCACCTACCAAGGAATAAGTAGCCAAAGAACTAAACCATCTACAAATATCAATCAACCAAAACTAAAAGTGAGATCTTATACATAACAAAGCTTAAGATACCCAGTCCTATTTGTCATGACCATACTGTCAAAGTGTTATTGTGTCTAAACATTTCTTTAATACTTAAAAGGTGTTGTAATTCGATTTTTGGGAGAGTAGCTGTGCTGATTTTGTTTAATCGAATGATTTGTTGAGGCGAATCAAAGAAATATGAATATAAAACACTCTTCATTGGAAAACTATACCTGAATTGAAATACCGAGATGTCTGGGGTACTAAAAAGGGGCTCAGTTTTTCCCTAACCGTGAAGAAGAAATAAGTGAGAAGAAATTGGATCTCCATCTGATGAAGCAATAAATAAAATGAGAATCGGCTGATTTAAGCGTTGGAGAATCGGCTGATTGTCTACGAAGCCGAAATGGACGAACCCTGATATTATGGCCAGAGAAATTCAGGAGGCTAATCGGGAACTGGATGAAGCGAGAGGAATGGATGAGAAGACGAAGGTAGGCGGAGAAGGAGATAGCTAAAGAGGAAATTGTGAAGAATCGGAAAGATGAAAGAAACAGTGAAGAACTGAAAGATGAAAGGAACGGTGATGATGGATTGCACCGAACGATTGAGATGAAATACGCTGTTAGGCGGGATTACTGTAGCATGAACAGTGAATTTACTGTAGCATGAACAATAAACTTTTGTATTGCTTTTATGTAGAAGATATGCTACTTATATGCCGTGTATTATTATTACTTTGGTAAACTAAATATAAAATATAAGATGCATAAATTAGTTGGATCCAGATACATATATATACGGATAAATAAAAGGTTAAATTCTAGCAAACCCATATGCACTAATAAGTACTACTCCCTCCGTCCCGCTATGATTGTCTCATTTTACCTTTTCGGTCCGTCCCGCTATGATTGTCTCATACCTTATTTGGTAAATTTGTGTGGCTCTAAATCATTCTTACTTTATTCTTACTTTATCAATTCAATATCAACCACATAATCCCACTTTTATTAAAAATCGTGTCACCTTCTCTTGTCCCAAACTTAGGGGGACGGAGGTAGTACATAAGTAGCCTATATGTTATTTGTTACGTTAAGTTAGTTCAAACATCATATGTAAGTATCGATGATTAAATAAATATATTAAAGTATATTTTCTGAAAAAGCCTCACTCTTGGTCTGGTACTCTGACGTGGATACTTCTGTTCTGTTTAGTGTACTACGTACACTCCTGAAATTCTGTTTTAGAGGAATTAGTGTTCTCCTGTTTAGTGTACCGCGTACACTCCTGAAATCTTTTTAGAACACTATTACTCTTCTGTTAAGGATCGGGTCTCTTCGGTGATCTCGTCCTTTCTGTTCAGCTAGCTTCTGTTAAGGATTGGTACGTGTAGCTCCGGCGATTACGTTTCCATATCCTTTCTGGGTAATGTGGGTACAGACTCGAGGCTGTATTCCTTACCGTTAGTATTCCGCTGTCCAGGTCCAGTTTCTTGAGTTTAAGGCTAAGTAAATGAATCTGTGTTATTAATGATACATTTTAAAAACATGAATTATCTGATAATCGGATATCTGAACTTGTTTTGTTAATTATTTATATGAATATTCTGAAATACATGAAAGTTTATCCAGTTCGCTCAGGTATGATTATTTGTTCTCATGATCACGTGCTAATTACGATATGTTGTTATCTGCTTCAATATGCATGTTATGTGTTATTACCGTACCACTCAGCACATTGCTGAGCGGGTAGTTGTTTGTTTTTCCTACCCGTAGGTCAAGTCCAAGATCAACCTGAAGCATCGGGATGGAGGGAGGCATAGGACTCATATGCATATGCTATGTTTTGGGGTCCTTTAAAGTATGGGATATGTATTTGAAATAAACGTTATTTTGATATTTTGTAAAAACCTTCCGCTGCAATTAAATGAATTTTGTAATGTTGACGTTATGTCTGTTTAATAAAAGTTCTACTTATTTTGGGCTAATGTGTTCCACTTATTCAATAATATAAGTATGTTTGTAAATCTGTTAAATATGGTCTAATCTGATGAGATCTTTAAATAAGTCTGTTTCGGTTTCTGCCTCGTGACACACCGCTCGGGTCGGCGGGGTCGATTCGGGTGGGGTGTTACAAGTCTTGGGGAGTTTCAGCGGAGTGGAGGCCAATCTTGGAGAGGCTCTTTTCTTCCGTGAAGCTAGGGCAAGCAGTTCATGAGCAGAGGGAACCAAACGAGAGCTGGAGGAACGAGAGCTGGAGGAAGATGCGGCAGCTGCAATAGTGCAAACATCATAAAACATAATGAGAAACAGCCACATTACAATTGACAAGTTCTAACTTGAAAGACAAATCAGGTGTTTACCAGTAGATGGAAGGGGGCATTTATTGGGAGCTGTCTGAGAACCTTCGCCCACTGGAAAAACAACCTGCATAGGGACATAGATGTCCGCATTCTCTTTGGCATCCGCTTTGGAATTCTCCGACTCTTGGTCTGAATCTTCAAGGGAGACTACAGATGAATCTTGAATCAGGTTAGGAGAAGCCTTCATATTGCGACCAGAGCGCCTTAATCCGACGGGTCTATCAGGAGTTAGAGTGGGGGGCATACCTGGCGATTCAGCTACCAGGTTTACGAACCAACGCTCTTCCACGGGGATAGCTTGAATTCGAGCCGTTCTTTCCTCTGACTTCGGTCCATAAGGGATGGATATTGCTTTCTTCTCTGAAAAATCAGGGGTTACAAATGGTTACGAATTGCAACACATGCTCTAAAAAAAACACACAAAAGCAACAACAATTTCTTTTGTTTACCTTTGTGCAGATTATCTTCAAGGAAAGATCCTTCGTTACCTAATGATTCTCTGAGGACGAAGAAGTACCATTGCATCCAGCCCCTGTCATTCGTTTTGTCTACCTTGTGAATGAGTCTTGATTTCTTCTCTTTCAGTGCAAGCGTAAATCTGCCAGGCCCAGAAGTTCGAAGCTCATAGGTGAAACCTAGGTCTTCAAATTCAAGAGGGATGTCGTATTTCTCACTCAATACCTCCAACGCCCGAAGGATCCTCCACACCTGAGGCATGATTTGGGAGGGCGACATGTTGACGAACTCCAAGAAACCACGGGTTAGGGGGGAAAAGGGAAATTTCATCCCGATTTTGAAAGGATAATACAAGAAATTCACCCAACCCGGGCAGTACCAGTCCATTCGTTCATTTGCTGCGGGAAAACGGAGGACTACGGTGGGGGGAAAACCAGAAGATGTCTGGATGAGGTCTACCTGCTCCTCTGTAAGTTTTGCTTGCTTCACGCTTTTCGGTTCGAGAATGTACTGTGGAACGAAGTTATGAGCTGCCATGGCGGTTTCAGAATCTTTGGTGCCAGGAAA